ATAATATGGGGTTTGGGTGTGCTGCTGATGGACATGTTATATTGTTTTTTATAGCAAGACAATACCGCACAGTACGTTTTTTAAAATTGGTTAGTTTGTTAGAGGCACATATCCTCATGGAAAACATTTACATTTGTTATACATTTGTTAAAATATAATAATTCTGTCTATCTTAGCTTTAGCGTGTTTACATTATTGCAATTAGTTGATATCCAAATATAAAAACTCCATAACGATATACAGACTTTGCTTTCATGCATCCTTTGTACCCCCCTCCTCACAGAACATGCAGAAGAAGTTCAGCTCCATCACCCACTCCTCCGTGAGGTTCCTGGGGGAGAATCTTCAGCGGATGGGGAACCAGTTCCTGAGCTCTCTGGAGGTGATGACGTCTCGCTCGCAATGTCCCACAGTGCTGCTGGACGCAGAGACGGTGAGCTGCATGATGGGAAATGTAGTGCAGAAACATGTACATTATCATTTATAAATCACTGCATGCTGTGCACATACAGAGCTGCAGGATGTGGTGTTTCTGTGTTGGTCCCTGAAGGCAGCATCTCCCTGGTCCAATGGGATTCCTCCATGTGATTTTGGATTATGTCAGAAAATAATCTCAAACGTTGATGATATTTACACGTTTAGTTCAGCAGGATGATCTCCACATATTAACACCACTTTATGATTTCTGAAGTAAAAAGCTAACAAACTACAGCACGGTCACATGACTTCACGTCACCACCGCTAAGCTAAAGGTGGCTAACGTTAGGCTACAAAGGAACTACAGCATGGTCACATGACTTCACGTCACCACCGCTAAGCTAAAGGCGGCTAACGTTAGGCTATAAAGAAACTACAGCACGGTCACATGACTTCACGTCACCACCGCTAAGCTAAAGGAGGCTAATGTTGGGCTATAAAGGAACTACAGCACGGTCACATGACTTCACGTCACCACCGCTAAGCTAAAGGAGGCTAATGTTGGGCTATAAAGGAACTACAGCACGGTCACATGACTTCACGTCACCACCGCTAAGCTAAAGGAGGCTAATGTTGGGCTATAAAGAAACTACAGCACGGTCACATGACTTCACGTCACCACCGCTAAGCTAAAGGAGGCTAATGTTGGGCTATAAAGGAACTACAGCACGGTCACATGACTTCACGTCACCACCGCTAAGCTAAAGGAGGCTAATGTTGGGCGTGATGACTTTTAGTCGTCTCAACAGTTTTTAAATCCACCAGTGGGGGATTTACTGATGTATTTTATGTTGTAGAGCAAAACATTAAAGTCTCATCAGCTTGTGTTAACCTCAGACCTTATTTCAGGCTAACAACCAAAAACACATTCAGCAAACCATTGACCTCCAGACCAAGGGGACAGGAAATGATGAAATGCTGACTCATGTTTGGTTTTGAGGACTCATTCCTGCAGCTCTGTATTGCTGTGTGTGTGTGTGTGTGTCCTGGAGCTCTCTGTGGTGTGTGTTGTGTTAATGTGTGTGTTGTCCTGTCCTGTAGCTGGTCTCTTGTGGCCTGTTGGAGACTCTGAAGTTTAGTGTGCTGGAGTTACAGGAACACCTGGACACCTACAACGCCAAGAGGGAGGCGGCCGAGCAGGTGAGACCCCGCCCATCATCATCATCATCACTTCCTGTTCACTTTACTGCCTTTTAATGATCTTTTTACAGACAAACATCAAGTCACAATACATGAAAATCAAACATTTAACACAACAGCACAATCACTGAGAGAAAACGTGCCTACGCATATTACTTCGGGGAAAACTTGAATTAAAACATAATAAACAAAAGCAATGAATTAAATGTATTAACCTTTTTACATTTCCCAGAAGCTTCCCTTTCTTTTTTAGATTTCCTGAACCTGGGAGTTTACAATTCATTTTAGACTCTCAGGATCGTGTTGGCATTGCATCTAAATAAAGTGCAGACGATGCAGAGAGATGGTGTTTGAGCCTGATCTGCAGAACGTGTCCTTGTTAGACTTTGCTTGAAGAAAATGTTGATGACGTCACTTTAGGCTCCACTAAAATAACCATGAAGCAAACACACACTGCTGCATTTAAGTGTGTGTGTGTGTGTGTGTGTGGACAATTAGCTGATGCTTGACGAACTAAATAAAATAACTGAATGATCTCGTGTGTGTGAGATCAGCAGAGTCAGTGTGTGTGTGTGTGTGTGTGTGTGTGTGATCAGCAGAGTCAGTGTGTGTGTTCTGAGGAGCTGCTGTTTCTGTCTGCATCACATCTCCTGCTGCAGGATAAAAATAACCCTCCTCTACTAAATCAGTTATAGCAGGCCGGCAGTGGGGGGAGAATAGTGTGTGTGTGTGTGTGTGTGTGTGTGTGTGTGTGTGTGTGTGTGTGTGTGTGTGGTGTGTGTGTGTGTGTGTGTGTGTGTGTGTGTGTGTGTGTGTGTGTGTGTGTGTGTGTGGGTGTGTGTGTGTGTGTGTGTGTGTGTGTGTGTGTGTGTGTGTGTGTGTGTGGTGTGTGTGTGTGTGTGTGTGTGTCGTGTGTGTGTGTGTGTGTGTGTGTGTGTGTGGGTGTGTGTGTGTGTGTGTGTGTGTGTGTGTGTGTGTGTGTGTGTGTGTGTGTGTGTGTGTGTGTGTGTGTGGCAGCTAATTGAATTATACTGGATGTTCCCTGGAGGCCTGGAGACCAACCCGTCTCTGCACAGGCCTCCTTTAATTCTCTAAGTACAGCCCTGTTATTAGATCTGCCCCCACCAACCGTTATCACACACAGATGCAGACGTCCACTGCCGCCCACCCCCCCCCCCCCCCATCTTTAATCCGACTGTTTTATTCCTCTTCCTCCTGCAGTGGCTGGAGAACTGCAAGAAAACCTTTGGAGACAAAGAGAGCAACCAGAGAGCCGACACTCACACACAGGTAGGAGCAGTGAGGTTAGAAACAGCCGCTCAAACATGGATACATGTGAAGGTTCCAACGTTTTTCACCTTCAGTAAACAAAAGGAGGTGTTTCAGGCAGGGGAGGGAGTGTGTGGGAGAGAAACTACTTCTGGAGAGAACACAGGGATTTCAGCGTTATCAGACCATTGACATGCACTAAAACCTATAGGGAAAAAGCAGAATAGAACCTCTTTAAGCCCTAACACATTGTGAAAAACCACCACGCTAACTCCCCTGCTAACGTCTCCTACCTGAACCCAGGTGTCGTGCACTGCAGATGAAACGGCATGTAGTGCTCCTGCATGTCCTGTTAGATGCTGCTGTGTACTAACAACACACTGTCTGCACACACAGCTGCAGGAGTCTCTGCCATGAGATGTTTACATGCTGGATTGGTTATTTCTAGTCTTTTAATTTCTCTATTGTACAATGCCTTGTCTCTTTATGCTGCTGCAACGCAAACATTCCCCAAATTGGTAAACGTATGAGTTGACATGTCATTCAGTGAGAAGCCACTTTAACCCTTAGCTAACGCACTGTGCTTATTCACTAGGGAAGGCAGCTAACTCTTGTGCTAACTCAGATTAGCTGGAAGTCTTTGCTGCTGTTGGTTCAGTGCTGACGTGTAAGCTCCGCCCACAGACCATAACCTCTTCTCTGTTTCTGACTCTTGCTAACGCCAGGAGAAGCTCCACTCTGATGAGCTTCAGCACACTAGTTTCACAGTTTAGATTAGCACACCAGAGTGCTTTGTATTGACTTTGTATGAAATCCCGTAAAACTCCTCGTCTGGTCCGAACACCCTTTCAAAATAAAGGCTTGTGTTCCTCTGATGTGTTTGAGAGGAAGAGGAGGAGGAAGGAGCTGCTTCCTGTCTCTGTGTCTCTGCCATGTGTCGCTCACTAATTCTGGATCTCTCTCTCTCCTTTTGTTTCTGTTGTTGTTGTTGTGACCTGCTCACCTTCTTGCTTAGCAAATGGAGAATCTAGCAGTAAGTGGTTCTCATATTATAGACTCTTGTAATCATACGGACAAACACTGACCACCCCCCCCTCATATCTACCTTCATTTAACCCCCCCTCACTCATTATGATTTATTATCCTGTATGGCAACATGGGCTTTTCTCTGTTGCTAACCCCTTCATTATAAAAGCACCTGATTGTGTCTGCAGGGACATCTGTACTTAGGTTTCCTATGGACTCTGAAGGATGTGCCCAGAACTCATACCTAGTGATGCCAAAACTTGACCGTACTCGTTTTACTACATAACTTCAGATAGTATCTTTAGGACTCCAGACTAACAGCATCCTGGGGAAGATAGAAAATGTGTTTGGGACGCAGTAAATTAAATATGTTCCCTAAAAATCCTACATTGTGAACAGCTAATCTGTTAAAGTGTGCAGGAGGGCTAGCTCACTTTAGCTGCTAGCCGTTAGCCGCTAGCTGCTAGCCGTTAGCTGCTAGCTGTTAGCCGTTAGCAGCCAGAGCTCAGTGTAACATCATGGTGCGTTCAAGCTCTATTCAGTAAAAATAAATATTGAGTAGAGGTATATTAAATCGTTATCATGTTAGTGATTTGAGATTTGTTTCCCCAGCAGTAAAGGATAGAAATCAGAGGCGTGTTAAACTTCCTAAGAAAACCAAGGATGCTAACGCTAACTAGCAGTGTTTGTTGATGAGATTTGTATTATTTTATTGCAGTTGGTGTTGAATTGGTGTTGAGAATCATACCAAATGTTAGTGGTATTAGTCATTTATTTTACATTGACATCCCTGCTGAACACCAAGTCTTATTCCTAATATTCAAAGCTTTATTTAAAACTACAAACAGCTTGTTCAGATGTCAGAGTGTGTCAGAGAGCTCATTTTGTCGTCAGGATTTCATCTCTTCCCTTCTGCATGTTTATGCTCCCTCTCATCCGCTGAGCATCATGACCTCCTGGGTCAGGGTCTGACCTCTCGGGAGAGTTTCTGATCACATGACTAACTCTGGTAGACTCACTTCCTGCTCTCACTGGATGCCATTTTAACCCTTTCATCCCCCCTCCCTCCCTCCCTCCCTCGCCCCTCCCTCCCTCCCTCGCCTTGACTCTAACCCAGGAAACCATCTAATCACATGATCAGCTGTTCAGAGGTCAGCTGTTCAGAGGTCAGGTGGTTAGAGGTGTGTGTGTGACTGCAGCAGGAACAGAGAGGAGTTCTAGCAGGAAGCGGACAATGTGTTTAAACTCCTAACTTCAGATTACATTTACCCTTTATACATCATATTTTCAACTTTGACCTTTTTAGGAAAGGTTTTCTGTGTTTTTCTCACACTTTTTGAGTATTTTTCAGTCATGTAGGTCATTTTAGAAAAATCTTCACATTTATTTTATTGATCCTTTTGCTATAATTATTTGTAACTTTTCCAAAAAATGTTTAAAATGTATGAAAACATTTTTTCAGAAAATATATATTTCTTTCTTGACATTTAGATAATTGTTTGGACTTTCTTTTGCGTTTAAAAAAAAAATGTCTCACATATTTTCCAACTGTGACTTTGCAGTTACATAAACAAATAAATATTAATTCTTGGAGTTAAATGAGGCTTCCTGCTGGTACTCCTGTCTGTCTCTACTGCAGGTTTCACACCGACTATAGAGGAGACTCCTGACTTCTCATCCTCTGAACTCCTCTCACAGTTCTCCTGTCATTAAGCTGACTGTGTGTGTCTCTCTGTGTGTGTTCCTGTGTGTGTGTGTGTGTGTCTCTCTGTGTGTGTTCCTGTGTGTGTGTGTGTGTGTGTGTGTGTGTGTAGGAGCTGGAGTTGTGTCGCCGGCTCTATAAGCTCCACTTCCAGCTGCTGCTGCTGTTCCAGGCGTACTGCAAGCTGATCAGCAGAGTGGACACCATCAAGGGGGAGGCGGAGGTGAGACACCAGATATCATTCATACGTCACTTTATATCTGACTTTAAAGGTCACCTATTATTTAAAATCCACTTCATGTCTCTTCTTCATCACCATGTGTCCCCTCTTCTTCATGTCTCTTCTACATCAACATGTGTCCCCTCTTCTTCATGTCTCTTCTACATCAACATGTGTCCCCTCTTCTTCATGTCTCTTCTACATCAACATGTGTCCCCTCTTCTTCATGTCTCTTCTACATCAACATGTGTCCCCTCTTCTTCATGTCTCTTCTACATCAACATGTGTCCCCTCTTCTTCATGTCTCTTCTTCATCATGTGTCCCCTCTTCTTCATGTCTCTTCTACATCAACATGTGTCCCCTCTTCTTCATGTCTCTTCTACATCAACATGTGTCCCCTCTTCTTCATGTCTCTTCTACATCAACATGTGTCCCCTCTTCTTCATGTCTCTTCTTCATCAACATGTGTCCCCTCTTCTTCATGTCTCTTCTACATCAACATGTGTCCCCTCTTCTTCATGTCTCTTCTTCATCAACATGTGTCCCCTCTTCTTCATGTCTCTTCTACATCAACATGTGTCCCCTCTTCTTCATGTCTCTTCTACATCAACATGTGTCCCCTCTTCTTCATGTCTCTTCTTCATCAACATGTGTCCCCTCTTCTTCATGTCTCTTCTACATCAACATGTGTCCCCTCTTCTTCATGTCTCTTCTTCATCAACATGTGTCCCCTCTTCTTCATGTCTCTTCTACATCAACATGTGTCCCCTCTTCCTCATGTCTCTTCTACATCAACATGTGTCCCCTCTTCTTCATGTCTCTTCTTCATCAACATGTGTCCCCTCTTCCTCATGTCTCTTCTACATCAACATGTGTCCCCTCTTCTTCATGTCTCTTCTACATCAACATGTGTCCCCTCTTCTTCATGTCTCTTCTTCATCAACATGTGTCCCCTCTTCTTCATGTCTCTTCTACATCAACATGTGTCCCCTCTTCTTCATGTCTCTTCTACATCATGTGTCCCCTCTTCTTCATGTCTCTTCTACATCAACATGTGTCCCCTCTTCTTCATGTCTCTTCTTCATCAACATGTGTCCCCTCTTCTTCATGTCTCTTCTTCATCAACATGTGTCCCCTCTTCTTCATGTCTCTTCTACATCAACATGTGTCCCCTCTTCTTCATGTCTCTTCTACATCAACATGTGTCCCCTCTTCTTCATGTCTCTTCTACATCAACATGTGTCCCCTCTTCTTCATGTCTCTTCTACATCAGCATGTGTCCCCTCTTCTTCATGTCTCTTCTTTCATCAACATGTGTCCCCTCTTCTTCATGTCTCTTCTACATCAACATGTGTCCCCTCTTCTTCATGTCTCTTCTTCATCAACATGTGTCCCCTCTTCTCCATGTCTCTTCTACATCAACATGTGTCCCCTCTTCTTCATGTCTCTTCTACATCAACATGTGTCCCCTCTTCTTCATGTCTCTTCTACATCAACATGTGTCCCCTCTTCTTCATGTCTCTTCTTCATCAACATGTGTCCCCTCTTCTTCATGTCTCTTCTACATCAACATGTGTCCCCTCTTCTTCATGTCTCTTCTTCATCAACATGTGTCCCCTCTTCTTCATGTCTCTTCTTCATCAACATGTGTCCCCTCTGTGTTCAGAGTCTCAAAGATTCTCTCTCTTTTTGATCCATTTCTATAAAAACCTGTCTGAAAATGAGCTGATCAGATTTTGGCCACTTGATGATGTCATCACGATGTTTTGTCTTGTGTAACCATTAGCCAATCACCAACCAAGGTAATCCCCCCCCCCCCACCTTATCACCTGAATCTCCTCCTAGAGCACCTATAGCCGCGTTCACACCGCAGTACTTTTCCCACTTTAGTTCCAAAATGTCTCGTTCACACCAAAAAGAGCCGGAACTAAAATTAGTTCATCAGAACCTTTTCAGTCCCTGCTAGAGAGCAGGTACTTTCGTGGGAGAAAAAGGTTCCTATGTCTGATTGGCTGGGCGAATTGCAAACCACGCCCCGTAAAACTCCCAAAACGTTTTGTGAAGCCGCCATTTTATTATCCTCGCATTAGCATTATTAGCATTAGCATTCTCCCAGCGCAGAAACGCAGAGAGACTAACTTATGGCAACACAAAAGAAAACATGGGAGCGGTGGAGATGAGGAGGTGTCGGCGTTCTGGAGATTTACTCTGAAGGCTTCAGTAGAAGCTGCTGGGAGTCCCAGCAGCTTCTACTGAAGCCTTCCCCAACTCCGGGGACTTCCGGCCGGGGACTCCAGGGTGGCAGTATACGCCGTGAAGTGGTTTGTGGCCTGCCAGTAAACCCAAAGCAGAAGAAGAAGAAGTGACGTCAGCGGCTTCATTTGCGTAATCTTCCCTCAGGGACTTATTCCGGTGTGAACGCGATCTGTACTTAGTTCATGAGAACTAAAGAGTTCTGATGAACCTTTGTGGGAAAAGTACTCCGGTGTGAAAGCGCCTATTGAGTTCTTTGTAACCAAATGTCTCTCAGAGGGGCGTGGGGAGGGGCTCCTTATTTTCATCTAAAGTAACAGACAGAGAATCAGCACTTTGGAAACAGGGCTGAAACAGAGGGGATTATGGGTAATGCTGCAATGATCTGTTTGGTGTTTCAGCCAATCAGAGACAGGCTCTGGATATATCTGAGACCTGTGATATATTGATGAAGAAGAGGATGATGGGGGACCTTTAAATATCAGAACTGTCAGATATGAACTGAGCCTCAGAGAGAGAATCAAATATTTTGTAATCTGTAAATATGGAAGCACATTTGATGTGTGTGTGATCTGTGATTGTATTTGAGTACGTCTCAAACTGAAATGTTCTTTAAAAAAATGAGTTGGTACCTCATGACTTCATGTCTTTGCATCTCTAAATAACGACTTAGTTTCTCCTAATAATGACTTAATATCTCAAAATAAGGACTTAATATAAAAAAAATACATATTTGCTTCTCTAAATAATAACTTGGCGTCTCACTATAACGACTTATTATCTCACACACAATGATCCTGTCCATTAGTTCTGAGTCAGTGATATTAAACACAGACAGGCGGCTCATCCTGTCAGAGGAATCGATCAGATATAATCTCATTAAATATGGAGCTCTGCAGATAATAACCAGCCGCTTCATCACATGACCTCCAGCTGCTCTGTGTTCATGTTATTATAATTAATAATATTAATATATGAATGTGTTCATGGTCAGGTGACCAACATGTCGGAGGAGCTCAGCCTCCTGGAGAGCTGTCTGAAGGAGGCGGAGACAGGAAGTGACGCTCAGGAGGACGTCTGCATGACGGACGCCGCTCACACCAACACAGAGACGGCCGTCCAATCACTGATCGAGAACCTGAGGACGAGAGACTTCAGCGCAGCGCTCACACAGGTCAAACAGTTCAGGTGAGACACACACTCTGTAGCACACACACACACACACACACACACACACACAGGTCAAACAGTTCAGGTGAGACACACACTCTGTAGCGCGCACACACACACACACACACACACACACACAGTGTTCTGACTTCAGGTGAGACACACACATAATAACACAAACTGTCACACACACACTCACGTCAAAATGATCAGGTGAGACACTCAGTCATACACACACTGTCACACGCATAGTTAACACACACTATAATAACACATCACCCCCCCTCCCCTCTCTCTCCCCAGGTCTCAGTGGCCAAACGATATCTTCGGCAGCGAATCAGAAGCCCCGGTTCAGACCCTGCTGCTGCTCTCCTTCAGACAGCAGACCCTGGGTCAGCCGGGCTGCCTCGCTGTGGTTGGTCCCAGCCGAGACCTAAGCCCCGCCTCCAGCCGCCTGATGGAGATCAACCTGCAGATCAGGGAGGCTCTGAGCCGGGCCACGCCCCCGAACACGCTCTGAGGCCACGCCCCCTCCCCCCAAATCATACAAAGGGCTACAGGAAGTGTGGGACTGATGCTATTTCCTGTATGAATGCTACGCTAAAACGCAGATTCAGTTGCAATAAGAGGAGGAGGGGTGTTTCTCTCCTTCTGTGTTTCAAAAACCCGGGTTTGTTTTCTATAAAATGTCCTTTTCCAGTGTCTCAGAGTCCACGTGATGCGTTCAAATGTCCTTCACAGTGTCTCAGAGTCCACGTGATGCGTTCAAATGTCCTTCACAGTGTCTCAGAGTCCACGTGATGCGTTCAAATGTCCATCCCAGTGTCTCAGAGTCCACGGCTAGCCCCTGTATGAATGCTAAGCTAAAACGCAGATTCAGTTGCAATAAGAGGAGGGGGGGGGGGAGGGGGGTTGTTTCTTCCTGCTTTGAACTCATTAAAACTGAAGCCTGCGCAGATGGATTTAAGTTAATCTGCAGATTATTTTCTAAAATCCTGGTTTTGTTCCATGTCCTTTTCCAGTGTGTCAGAGTCCACGGTGATGCGTTCACTGACCCCACGGTGATGCGTTCACTGACCCCCCCTCGCTGCAGCATGTTTCAGGACCACATGCAGAAACACCTTCTTAATGAAACCTTTTCAAACGCATGCTTGAACGAGAGAAGCACTGCGAGAATATTTTTTTGAGAAATGTATTTTTTATTAGAGCTAATCCTAGGTTGTAAATGTTAGGGTGTTTAACCTGTGACTCCTCAGGGGGTGTAAAGAGAGATCTATGTTTATCTGCTTTAACCAAATAAGTAGCTGCCTTTAGACACTCGCTCATTATGGATAACTTATTTTACTCTGTATATATTTTAGAGATGTATAGTGTAAACAGTATTTTGTGTAATGCACTGTTCCTCCGCAGAGGAAGTCTGTACAAAGTGATGAGACGCCGCCTTCCTCCAATCACAACCTTCCTCTGTGATGTAGCTCCGCCTCCTGCTGCACCCCAGCCAATCAGAAGCATTCCCCGTCTCCACTGTGAGCTGTGATTGGCTGCAGGACTCTTCCTGTCCCGGCACATCGTGACGTCACTGTACTCATTCCTCAGAGAGCTTTCCTGCTTGTCTGGTACATCTGAATGCTGTTCTTAATTATTTAATGAGATATTATTTACCTGGAAGACGTGTTAATGTAGAGCTGCATTAATGTAGAGCTGCATTACACCTTTCTGTTCTCACATACCAGCCTTCTCTCTGGATAATAAAACCCTAATCATACAGAAGCCCGTCTCTGCTCATCATTCTGCAAACAGGGGTTCACATGTGAGTCTCTCTCTACATGCAGACTTGTCTTTAAAGCCCAGGGGTCTTACGGTCATTAACAACCTGGACAAGTCATGGAAATTCAAAATGCTAATTCCAGGCCCTGGAAAAGTTATGGACAAGTCATGGAAATTCAAAACGCTAATTCCAGGTCCTGGAAAAGTGTTGGAAAACAATATGTCTCCCAAAGTTTTGGAAAAGTCATGGAAATGTAACTAAAGTTGCATCAAATATAATTTATATTTTATCTAATTGCCGAAATAGTAATACTATAATGATAATAAATACTGTATAGTAATGAAACGTGAAATGGCTTTTAACTGAAGAGGTATTTTGCTGGTGAGAGATTTGAGTTGCCTTAGCGTGTAGAAGCTAGTAAGCCTATTTGATTTGTTTTAGACATGTTTCAGATGCAGACCTGATTTTCCTATTCCATGTTAAAATAAACCATTTTCAGTGGTACGCTGAGAAAGTCATTTTTTTGGTCATGGAAAATGAGGTAAAGGTCCTGGAGAAGTCATGGGTGAAAAAGTGTATGAACCCTGAAAGCCTGTTTCTCTACCAAAGTAAATAGTCAATCTTCGTGTGTGTGTGTGTGTGTGTGTGTGTGTGTGTGTGTGCGCACAGACAGACAGACAGACAGACAGACAGACAGACCCTATCATGGATTCAAACCAGTAAACTAGAAATCTGCAGATTCACAGCCCTTGGAATAAAACTAGATTTCCTAAGATGCTGTTCGACGTCCTGAAGCAGAAGAGATTCAAGTCTCTCTCATCGTGAGCTCAGCAGCTTCAGAGTAGATATGAAGTCACAGGCTCCTCCATCAGAGCCAGAATCAGGTTTATCACCAGGTAGGTTTACACGTACGAGGAATTTGACTTGATGTCGTGGTGCATACAAACAAGAATTAAAAACACAGATATGGAACTAGAATATAGTAAAATATAACCGTATTTACATTGCAATGGAATGGAATAAAAATCAGCAGTAATACAAAATATTGTTGTGCATTTGCATGAATGTAATGCATAGAGTCTACGTTGTGCCTGAGGTAAAGTGTCAGTGGGGGGGGGGCCGGGCCTTGTTGATGAGGCCGGTAGCAGAGGGGAAGAAACTGAATGTGAATGAATATATAGCACATGTGTCAAACTCAAGGCCCGGGGGCCAAATCCGGCCCTTGGTGGATTTAATTTCGGCCCGCAGGATAATTTCTAATTTCTATTAGATCTGGCCCTCTGGCATATTGCACGCACACCTTCACTCCATCCTGAGGGTCTCCTCAGCTCAGAGCCTGACCCCAAACATTGATGACCTTGCACCCAAGATGAGATGCCAAGTATCTGAGCTAGCATCACAGAGCAGCACACTGAGTTTACATGTTTCCTTCTGCACTTTTTCTCTCACGACAACAGGGCATGTTTGGTTTGTTCTTTGAGGGGAATAGTTTTGTTGAAGCTGTTGTTGGCCTGTGGAGAAATGTACTCATAAGAAATGACTCTGGAGAAGCTGCAGATAGAGCCATAAGAAATGAATGCAACTGATTATTTAATGTTTAATGTTTTTATAGGCAATCATTGAAGCTTTGTTAGTTCCAGGTTTAATATGTGCAATAAGTTCATTTCAATAAGTTCTGCAATAAACATTGAACCAGTCCGGCCCTCTAGTTGCGATTTTCTTATTTTGGCCCACTGTGTGTTTGAGTTTGACACCGCTGAGGACATAAAACAAATAAAACTAATAAAATAGAGCAAGAGAATGTTTTGAGATGTGCAAGTAAATAGAAATAGAGCAAGAAGAGTCTATATACACGTATGGAATATGATATAGAGATAAATAATTAGCAAGATGACAAACAGGTGAATGTTATGGAGGTGTTTAGCAGTCTGTGGGATGAAGCTGTCTCTGAGTCTGCTGGTTTCTGTCCTGATGCTGTGGTGTCACAACAGTTTGAGGCTGGGGTGATGGGGGTCTTTTGTAATCCTGAGGGCTTTCTTCCTGAGCCGCTGGGAGTTTTTAGAGCACTTTAAGAAATCACGAATGTCATGTTTTCTAGAATCAGTTTTTATTACCTGGTTTACACACAGGAGGACTCCTCTGTGGTTCATGTGGTGCATTCAAAGACACAGAAAGAGGAATGCATGCATGTGTGTACATATCTCATTGGCAGGAACAATTAGCATGAATTAGCTGATGCAGACATTAGCTTCAAAATGGCGTTGTCGATTTGGAGGTTATTGAAGATGTTGAATCAATTTCTGACATTTTCAGGATCAGAAAGAGCAGCTTTAACCAGAAAGTGGCTCAATGTGAACGGGGTCAGAGATTCCTGATACATTACAAACAACTGAGGACCAAAAATAAGATTTCAGCCAAACTGCATTAAAACATTTAAATTGTATTTAGCACAAATTATAAACTACATGAGACAGTGGTGTAACGTAACTAAGTACATTTACCTCTGAATTATACTACAGTTCAGAGGTACATGGTGTACTTTTCCTCCACTACATGTATTTAATCCCTTTAGTTACTTCACAGATGTGGATGAATGATGTGAAATATAATCAAGTGTTAAATCAGACTTTAGTTCCACCTGGAGTAAATCCACAAGCTACCCTGCAGTATACAAAGTCATTCAAACTAGCTGCACCTTTACCAGCTTTGAGAACACTTTCATGATCAATCATTATAAAACATATCATATATATTATTCTGAAATGGACCAATCTGCACAATGACTGCTTTTACTGTCGCTACTTTCACTATATTTTGATGAGAATACTTTTCTACTTTTACTTGAGGAACATTTTGAATGCAGGACTTTTACTGTAACAGAGTATTCCTACACTCTGGTACTTCTACTTTTACTCAAGTACAAGATCTGAGTACTTCTACTTTTACTCAAGTACAAGATCTGAGTACTTCTACTTTGACTCAAGTACAAGATCTGAGTACTTCTACTTTTACTCAAGTACAAGATCTGAGTACTTCTACTTTTACTCAAGAACACGATCCGAGTACTTTTACTCAAGATCTGAGTACTTCTACTTTTACTCAGATTCTTGGCTGAAACAGCATTTAAAGATATTCCTGTTCAATGATATTGAATTATATTTACTGCTCTAATAGTATTTGTCATTTAAATAAAATCTGCCCTTAGTGATGAAAGTGAACACACACACACAGCAGAGTGCAGGTAGCCGTTTATTACAATAGCAACTGTAACGCTTACCGTTAATATCAAACACAAAACAGGCATTAAATAAAGTTTGAAACGACTAATTAATGTTCCGCATCCAAAAATGCCATCGCTGCAGATCTGCAGGTACAGTGGCTGGGGGGGGGCTGACAGGAAGTGATACGGGGGGGTCAGAGGGGGGTCACAGCCGGGCTACAGCCGAGCTACAGCCGAGCTACAGCCGAGCTACAGCCGAGCTACAGCCGAGCTACAGCCGAGCTACAGCCGAGCTACAGGATGTACTTGAAGCTGAAGGTGCTCTCGCAGGACAGACGCTTCCCTCTGCAGCGCCCGCACAGATCCTGGCGGTGCGGACGCTTCGGGTCCACGTGGCGCTGCGTCTCCGAGCAGCAGCAGCGCGCCTTGTTGCACATCTGCAAACACCAGAGAAGAAGATGAGGTCAAGAGGTCAGTGGAGGACCAGGAAACGCACCAGAGAAGAAGAAGTGGTCAGTGGAGGACCAGGAAACACACCAGAGAAGAAGAAGTGGTCAGTGGAGGACCAGGAAACACACCAGAGAAGAAGAAGAAGAAGTCAGTGGAGGACCAGGAAACACACCAGAGAAGAAGTCAGTAATACTCTTTTAATGTTGGCCATGCGGGTTGTGCAACAGGTCTCCATTGTCAGTATGTGCGTCTGTGTGCAAACGGTGCACGACTGATGATATGTGTATTACCAGGAAACACACCAGAGAAGAAGAAGTCAGTGGAGGACCAGAGAGAGCTTTAATTAACAGAGAGAAGAAGAGTTCAGTGGAGGACCAGAAAACACCAGAGAAGAAGAGTTTCTCAAAGATATTGAAGTGACTGTTATTTTCTATGTATTGATTGTTGTGCTTGTATGTAGGTCTTAATGTGTGCACATGTAGAAATGTGTCTGTTTGTGTGTTTATACATATTTTTATATACATTTGTTTTTGTATTCAGATTGTGGGAGATGGTGTTTCGATCTCTGTACACAAACTGAAAGATTGACAATAAAGTTGACTTTGAATTCATTGGAGGACCAGAGAGAGCTTTAATTAACAGAGAGAAGAAGAAGAGTTCAGTGGAGGACCAGAGAGAGCTTTAATTAACAGAGAGAAGAAGAGCTTACGTGACACGTGATGTCCTCGACTCGGTACGGGTTGAAGGACTTCTGGCATTTTCTGCAGAACTGTTTGAAATAAACCTGGAAATAAAACAAAACTTTTTAAATTATTCAACAATTTAGCACAAAGTTTAACAATTATACAAAACAGAAGAGCTGCAGGGATCAGGGAGAGAGACAAACTTTGTGAGTCTCCTGACACACCGGGGACACACCGGGGACACACCGGGACACACCGGGGACACACCGGGGACACACCGGGATGTAGAGAAGACATCAAAGAGGGCATTTTGCATAATAGGAGACCTTTAAAGTGAATATCTTTGGACATTTGAACACATCACCTGAGACTCTGAGACGGACTTTTTATAAAACAAACCAGGATTTTAGGAAATAATCAACAGATGCATTTAAATCCATCTCCCCAGGCTTCAGATGTTATCAGTTTGATTGATCTTTACATACAAATTGCTCAGTTTTCCTCACCTTGCTGGTTCCCTGAACGCACCACACATAGGCGCTCTCCCACCGCAGGTTACACTCTCTGCAGTGGTAGTACCCGTACTTCTGCTCCAGGAACTACAACACACACACACATCACACACACACACACACACATCATACACACACTTTAATGTTAGTGATAGAAATCATGAAGAGGAACACGTGTGTCTGAGCAGCTTTATAAAGAGTTACAGACTTTCTTAAGATTTAAAAACGTTATTAACCCAAACCAGATTCCTGTGCCAGAGGACTCTCGTGCTGTGTTCAGGTACACCAGAGGACTCTCGTGCTGTGTTCAGGTACACCAGAGGACTCTCGTGCTGTGTTCAGGTACACCAGAGGACTCTCGTGCTGTGGTCAGGTACACCAGAGGACTCTCGTGCTGTGTTCAGGTACACCAGAGGACTCTCGTGCTGTGTTCAGGTACACCAGAGGACTCTCATGCTGTGTTCAGGTACAGGAGTTTTATTGAAACCAGATTTAAGATTATAACTTGGTTTTGTTTTTAATAAATGTGGGTACTTGTGGGTCATCTGTCGCCACGTTTTTGTTTTATCCAGACTTTCTAAATAGCCCTGAGCCGCAAAATAGGATTAATGTTTGTTATTTTGAGAAATTAAAAAGTGAATGTGGAGCCAGCTATCAGCTATTAAAAAGTGGCGACAGAAAGGTAACCCACAAGTAGCTGAGATTACACTTTCCATGATGTTTCCACCTCTTAACGTCCTGCTGCATCAGGTGAATCTAAATCACTCTCCCCACACCTGACGACACTCACCTGGAACTTCACGCGCGCCTTGCGCTTCGCCTCCTGCTGCTCCTCGTGCTCCTCCTCCCCTCCCTCTGGATCTTTGGTTCTGGTTCTGGTTTTCTTTCGAGGTTCTCCGGTTCTCTCCTCCGGTTCCCCAACCTCCTCCTCCCCCAGGAAGCACGTGACGCTCCTGAAGGCCACGGGGGAGTAAACAGCGAGTGTGCGCGGGTACCTCACCCCAGCGACCCCAGCGACCCCGGCGTCCCCCGCGCGGGCCAGGGTGCGCGTGCCGATCCCACACTGCACCGCGGCGTCCCGGCGCGGGTTCACCTGCACGGCCGCGTCCCGCGTGTTGAACCTCCGGAGGCGCGGGGCCAGAGAGGGGTTGATCTGCGCCAGGAGGGCCCGCAGCTGCGCGCGCTGCTGGTTGTTGAAGGCGTCCGCGGCGTCTCCATAGTGCGCGAGAAAGCTCTTGTACTTCCGGTACCTGGGCGGGTGCAGGTATGTGTCCGCGTGCTCCTCGCAGTAAGCCATGCTGTCAGGCCGCAGGGAGCACGCGGGGGGTTTATGTAGAGGCGCGCGCTCCATCAGCGCTAATGAGCAGCAGGTGAACAGCAGCACGTGACCAGGTGACTATTTATATATATATTACACATTAAACTTCAATTAAAAAGTTTTAGAGATTAGAATTATGATAATATAATAATAAACCTGGAGACTGACTCTAAGTGTGTTAAAAAAAGTTGATAAAATGTGAAGCAGGTGAGCAGACACGTGACCAGGTAACACTCACCTTTATTATCACAGGTACAGCTTTATCATTATTATTATATATACACTTATTATACATCTGTTCAGATTCATGGAGCTTAGACACACACACGCGCGCACACACACACACACACACACACACACACACACACACACACACACATACACACACAATGGAGTCAGAGGAAAACATTTCTAATGAACAGGAAAATAATAAAAAAATAAAGAGTGGAAATCTAAAATCTAATAACAAAATATAAATATTTGCATTTATTTGTTAATATATTTCTATATTTTATAAATATTTATTTATTTATTGCATAGAATTTAATTCATTTTGTTTATATATTTAAATCGTTTTAATATAATTGTATTAAATCATTTCTGTCCCTTTTTATATTTAATTATTCTTTTGCATATTAAAGGTCCCATGTCATGCTTTTCTGGTTATTACCCTTCCCCTTGTGTTCTGTAGCTTCTGCATGTAAACGGTCTGCAGAGTCACAAACCCTCAAAGTACACCCTGTAGAGAGTAACACTCTAACGGACCGTCCACACAGCAGCGTTAAACAAATCTTGGAGGTGGGCGTATCTGAAGCTTGGGGATTTTTTGCGAGCAACGCGACCAACAACCAATCACATGAATCTCCCGCCCCCGACATACGAAGCAAAAAAGCCCGAAGTAAACTGGATATAAACTCCCCAAACAGGCGAAAAGCTACCACTGTCTCTGCCACCTCCCTCCATGCCTGGCTCCTCCGGTTTGTATCCCGGTAGGTCTGGTCATAAAGCACCGGGTGATTCCCTACCGCTAATTTCTCCTCCATGTTTTGGAATATGAGGAAATGACCTGCGGTATTTCTCTCCCAGCATACACGCCGTTTGATTGGCTAGAGCTTGAACGGTCAGATTTGCGTACACGGGATTTGATTGGCTGACGCTTCCACCTCAGCCTCAAAAGTTGAACATTGCTCAACTTTGAATCCTGAAAATCCTGAAAATCTCCACTCGCCTGCCCACAATGCAGTTTGGCGAAAAGTGAGGCAAAGTGACGTCACCCCATTCAAAGTGAATGGGCAGAAGCGTTTCAAGATTTTTTAACGCTGCTGTGGAGACGCCCGTAACACAGAGAAGACCTGTCTCTGCTGCCCCAGAACGCCTCGGTGGACATTTCTCTTTTTCCATTGTTTGCTTCCTGGGTTCAGTGACGTATTTCTGGTTCAGTGACGTAACGTCCGTGGAGCCGTTGCGTTTTTAGATTTGTCTTTTTTATGGCACTCCTACAACTCCATCACACACACACACACACACACACACACACACACACAGATTTAAAGCACTAATGCAGTTAGCTTTGATGTCACGTTCACAGACTGAAGGTGAGATGATGAAAGGCAGCGAGCATCTTTAGATAGAGCTGCAGCTACAATAAATAATAATAAACTATTAAATAAAGTTCTGCAGAAATGTCTCTAAAGTTTCTCTGTTTCATATTAAAGTGAATATCTTTGGACCTCTGAACACCGTGGACTCTGGGACTCTGGGACTCTGGGACTGAGACACTGAGACACTGAGACTCTTACCCCATTCACACCAACGGTGTTTCGGGGCCGGTTCGGAGCTGGAGCTTGAAAAGCATTTGTAGGCGTAAACTGTGACGTCATGACGCAGCAGCGGCAGCACCAGTCGGGCTCTGAGCGGTGTGAAAAGAGCCGGAGCTAAACCGAAGTACCGGTTCTGAACCAGAAAAGCTCTAGCACGGAGCTTGAACCGGAGTTGCGTTGGTGTGAAAGGGGTAACTGAGACTCTGAGACTCTGGGACTCTGAGGGGCCTTTCACACCAACGCAACCCTAACCCTTTGGAGAGTGTGACCAACCATCAGATGTTCAGTGCATGTTCAGTGCATAACATCAATGTGTTGTTTAACCCTAACCCTAACCCTAACCCTAACCCTAACCCTAACCCTAACCCTAACCCTAACCCTAACCCTAACCCTAACCCTAAAAATCTGCCGACAGCAGCTAAAAAATGGCTTGGCCGATGAGTCTCAGTCTCGGGCTGTTTTGATGAATTTTGGGTCGATTTCAAAGTTTTAGTGGAAACAAAACTACATTTTTTGATCCTACAAAAATGTTTCGATCATAACACTTTGGGGTCTCATCATTTCCAGGTTCACAATAAGACTCTGAGCTGCAGACAGACTCCATCACACGGGGGTGGGGTGGGGGGGGCAGGGGTCCAGAGTGATGGTGTTGGGGTCACTGGAGGTCACGGCTCCGTACGAAGACTCAAACTCCTCGTCGTCGTCTTCAAACCTCTGATAGGTGATTCCCATATCCTGCCCCCCCCCTGCTGGTTCCTCTTTGTGCAACACCTTCCTCCGGTACACCCTGTACGCCAGGATGAAGACCCCCGCCTCGGCCGCCTGGAACAGAGCGTAGAGGAGCGGGAACATGTACATCCCTCCCATCAGCTGCGGGGGGAAGGCCAGTTTCAAGATGGCGGTGCACAGCTGCACGTTCTGGCATCCCGTCTCCAGGGAAACGGAGCGGCGGCTGGCGGGCGGCAGGTCGAAGAGGACGGCCAGACCGTAACCTGCAGCGTACCCACAGAGAGGCATGAGGAGAGCCACCACGTACACCGAGGGGGGGAGGGAGGACAGCAGGCCAGGACCCAGCAGGGCCCCCGTCAGCAGGAGGAGCAGCAGGAGGGTCACCAGGAGGGACCAGAGGGAGACCTGGGGGGAGAGAGAGAGAGGGAGGGGTTAATACAGCAGGAGGGTCACCAGGAGGGACCAGAGGGAGACCTGGGGGGAGAGAGAGAGAGGGAGGGGGGTTAATTCAGCAGGAGGGTCACCAGAGGGAGACCTGGGGGGAGAGAGAGAGAGGGAGGGGTTAATACAGCAGGAGGGTCACCAGGAGGGACCAGAGGGAGACCTGGGGGAGAGAGAGAGGGAGGGGGGTTAATTCAGCAGGAGGGTCACCAGAGGGAGACCTGGGAGGGAGAGAGAGAGGGGGAGGGGTTACTATACTACAGGGTCACCAGAGGGACACCTGATATATTCAAAGATTCAAAGATGTCAGCAGCAGCAGCTTCAGTGCAGAAATGGCAATGAAATTCTTCTGAGCTGAGCTCCTCCCACAATGCAACATAATAAAATATATGAGGGGGGGGGGGGGGTCTCTTAATACTGCAGGGAGACCAGCAGATATACCTGGCATCAACATCCAATGATCCCAAATCACACGGAGTAATCCCATTGGACCAAGGAGATGCTGCCTTCAGGGACCAACACAGAAACTGGACATCCCTGCACCGCTCTGATCTTCATATTTCAACTTTTAAAACCTTAAACTCTTATTGCTGTCTCTCTGTCTCCAGCCCCTTCCCCAGGGAGCTGCGGACCCCTCCTCCATCATACAGTCTATAAATACACCCAACGTATTATTCATGGGTTTTGTGGAACCATTCCAAGGTCAAAAGGTCAAAAGGTCAAAGCACGGCTAAACTGGTTTGTCTTCATCACCTCCAAGAAATATCTGATCAATTTTTCTAATAAATCACTGTTTTTAGAGGACATCCTGACGTCTTAAAGCTCAAGGTGACCCAACACCTGTATCCAGATGTTCCTCTCTCAGTTGGTCTCGCTGCTGCAGATCTATCCAACTTGTACTCGTCTAAAGAGTTCTCCTTAACACAACTAAGCACTCTGTGGGTCCTTTGGTCGTCTTTCTGTCTCCTTGTTTCTCCTTCTCCCCCCAACCCAACCCAACCCTCCCTTGTGTTGTTAAGTGAATTTGTGTCCCAGAAAAGCGCTATAAAATATAATTTACTAATATTATAATTATTATTACTTAAAGGTGGGGTAGGTAAGTTTGAGAAACCGGCTCGAGATCGCTAGAATTTGAAAATACACAACCGGAGAAAATCTGCCACTTCCTCACAGAGCCCCTCCTCCAACACACACGAACGCGCACATGACCAATGAGGGCACGAGATAAGTTTGTGCACAGATGGAAGGCTGACAGGCAGGTAGGCCATCCAGTTATTTTAGCCGGGCCGGCTCAGATGATTGGTCGTGCTTTTTACAGTACTACAGCTTCCACAGATGATATTTATTAATGGATTTTTTGTCAAAGCACTTCAGATATTCATTGCTATCGGGATGTTAAGAGCATTCCATGGAATATAACAAGAAGTGTATCTCCAGCCGGTTTCTCAAACTTACCTACCCTACATTTAACTTTTAGTAATAATATTCAAAGAAAGCACTTAGAGTTGGTTAAAGACACTTAGTAATGAGTCTCCGTGTGACAGGAATCCCCTCAAATGACCCTGATATAACGACATCATGTTTAATAAATATATACTTTTGGGACGTTTGGATCATTTCTGCTGACTCTGAGCAGAGACTCTGCAGGTGGATGGGGGCAAATATTTAACACACAGATATCACCATGAAACTCCCCCACTTCATTACTGACATTAACACAACTATCTTTTATATTACAAGTTTTCTGACAGTTTAGGGTTAAATATGCAAATGAGGCGATATGTGATGCTAACCGTTGGTGAGTTTGGGAGAAATCTGCAGACAGAATTAAATAAACATTTAAATATGAATTAAGATGTTTTCTTTCCTCTAGTCTGAAAGAAGAAGTGAAGGAAGATGAATATCTGTGTCTCACCTGAAGTGTCTCACCTGTAGTGTCTCACCTGTAGTGTCTCACCTGCAGTGTCTCACCTGCAGTGTCTCACCTGCAGTGTCTCACCTGAAGGATGACCTCACCTTATTCCTAATGTTTTTAATAGTGCTAATATATAGTGTTTGAATTCGTGATACAAATGTTCAAAATGTGGTTTGGAGTCAGCCCATTTCTTTTTATGGATATGACATTTTATTCACCATTTATTGTGTACTATTGCATTGGATATCTTTCCTTAAGCAATGGCCTGTAGTCCTCCTTATGAAATGAAATGGGATCTCATCTAATTGTCAAAGTGACTTCTGAAACAGGGTGGAGCTGCTGCTGACGTCACTGCCTGTCACTGATGGGAGTCTCCCTTATGTCTCTTATCTGAGAGGGAGGGGCTCTGACGTCACTAACCCCCCCCCCCCTCCTCGGTGACCGGCACGGAGAAATTACGCAGTGCGCTTTTACGCACAGAAAACTGACAGTAAAGTCAAAATGACACGAAATGTAATTTGAAAGTAACTTTGAACACATTTACCTTCAACACGATGTCTGCCACGCGGGAGTTCCGGTACCGCAGCAGCACCCCCAGCCCGATGGGGATCAAGGTGCTGCACAGGGTCAGGATGATGGCTCCAAAGGGCATCAGGTTCACCACCGGGGTGTTGATCCAGGCCCGGCTGTAGACCCAGAGGCACAGCGGCATCAGAACCAGAGCCAGCAGCGTGGAGGAGATGGTCATGATGATGCTGAGACACACGGGGAGCAGGGGTTAAGACGAGAGAGAGGGATGCAGGATGCAAAGGCTTTATCACCATATGCCCAGCTACAGGGAGGTCAGGCTCCTCCAACAATACTATATGAGTCACATGACTGTTGAGAAGATAGATACAACCTATTAAAATGAGACATTAACATTAACAGCGAATTTATACAAACAGAAAATACATCTGTATCTAAATAATACTATAAAGAAAATACTGAATACATTTGAATTCTCTGTATATTAAATTCCACTAAAGAAATGATTCCAGAGGCTTTAAGGAGAGGTGCACTTCAGGGGTATCCTCTCATGTGAGGGACTGCGGATGGAAAGTAGCTCAAAGCTAAACCCGGCATATTTACACTTGGCACATTTCATGTTTTAAGTGTTCATTAATGTGCATTGTCTCTGCCAAATAAACCATTATAATAAATAAAAATAAACATGAGAGCCGTGCGTAAAGCTCTCCAAGTGCCCGGGATGTCCGTGCGTCATTTGCCGGTTTACGCTCACATTTACAGGTTCTCTTATAAACTCTTAAAAAGTTGTGTTTCTTGATGACTTCCTACCTGAGGTTCATGTCCCCGTGCATGAGCAGCGACAGGATGTTGGACAGGTTCCCCCCCGGGCAGCAGCCGCAGATCAGCACCGCCATGGCCGCGACGTCATCCAGAGAGAAGGCGAGCGCGAGCAGGAAGGCCACGAGCGGCATGATGACGAACTGGCAGATGATGGCCAGCAGGACCCCCACGGGCCTCCGCACCTGCTCCCCCAGCGCGCTCACATCCACCGTGCAGCCCAGACCCAGCATGGTGAAGCACAGCACGAGACCCACGAACACGTTGATGCCGTGGCTCAGCGGGGAGTCCCAGAAGGCGGGAATCTCCAAGTCCTGGGGTCGCGAGGCCATGAAGTCCGCCTCTGATGCGCTGCCTTCAGGGACCATGAGGACACCGCGGGGAGCCTCTGGAGACCCCGCCGCGCGCCACAAAGTGTCCGAGAGGAAGTGAGCGAGGCCCGACAGCAGGCTGGAGCTCTCCATCTCCATCCGTCCGCGCGTAAAGAGAGTCCGCTTTAGTGGCACAGCGCGCGGGGAGATGGAGCCATGGCACGAGCTCTCTGAGGATTGGCTCCCTGACGCACGGCCGGAGGAGAGTCTTAAAGCTTCAGGGGGAGGGGAGGGGCAATACATGAGGAGATAACTAAGTACATTTACTCAATTTAGAGGTACTTGTACTTAACTTGAGTATTTTATACCACTGTGTACTTCTACTCCACTACATGTATTTAATACCTTTAGTTACTTCACAGATGTGGATGAATGATGTGAAATATAATCAAGTGTTAAATCAGACTTTAGTTCCACCTGGAGTAAATCCACAAGCTACCCTGCAGTATACAAAGTCATTCAAACTAGCTGCACCTTTACCAGCTTTGAGAACACTTTCATGATCAATCATTATAAAACATATCATATATATTATTCTGAAATGGACCAATCTGCACAATGACTACTTTTACTGTCGCTACTTTCACTATATTTTGATGAGAATACTTTTCTACTTTCACTTGAGGAACATTTTGAATACAAGACTTTTACTGAAACAGAGTATTCCTACACTCTGGTACTTCTACTTTTACTCAAGTACAAGATCTGAGTACTTCTACACACACACACACACACACACACACACACACACACACACACACACACGCACACACACACTCTGAGCTGCAGGATGGAGTGGTTTCTTTGTGTTTGTGCAGCCGCTGTGAGATCTGAGGTTTTCTTTAGAGCTGCTTTCATGAAGCCCTCAGATAACACATCTCCATTCTCTTTATTCTCCTTTATGATATGATTTATGAAAGTAACGTTCATCTTTTAGATCTGACAGGTATCGAGTTAATCATTCATCACTTATTATTCAGTTTGAACTGTGTCGAAAGTCAGAGAATGAATGTCAGTAAATAAAGAATATAAATACTTAACATCCCCACAATTAACCCTTCGATTGACTTCAACCTGTCTATAAATGTCTCACACACACACACGCACACGCACGCACGCACGCACACACACCACACACACACACACACACACGCACGCACACACACAA